GCTGATGAATATCACATCTGGCACCACAATGGCAGCAAACCAGAGTTTCGGCACAGCCCCTGAGACAGACATTTAGAGGCGAACAGGCATGTACGCCAGAGCGATTTAAATCAAAATTTAACAACTGGGGGAAAAAAGCCCCTTGTGGCAGGTGCTGTAAAAACACTTTAATACAGCGCTGAAAACAGCGTCTGTTTCAGTCCCAGTCAGCACGTCAAATACATCTCCCAAATACCGAGATCTACAATACCAGTCAAAAGTTTGAGTACAACCTCCTTGAAACCAGGTTTTTCCCTGATTATCTGTGCTTTAAACGGTATAAACGTGTCTATAAACACTTCATATTTAATTACATGATATGCGTGCTTCTAATCTTAAACTGCATTGAAAATGTTCATTGTTTTTCATTTTCAACAAAATGAACACCCAAAGCAAACTATAAATATAGGGAGCACGGGCAAAAGTTTGTCATTCCTGAATGAACATGGCAAAAGTTGCTCAGCAAGCAAGGAAAAAAAGACAGTCTATAAAAAGCAGTTACTGACACTTGCAAAGTTCTTGCAATTTGTCTTAAAGATTGGCACTCATTTCTTAAAGTACTTATATACTGTCTTTTTTCCTTGCATGCTGAGCAAATTTCTCTATATTTAAAGTAACCGTGGACCCTCACCTACTTACCAGTAATTGATGACAAAAGGTAAATGAGGCAACATGCTTGTAAACCGTGAGAACATCTCACTAGACAATTTTTAACTTCTTTTAGTGTTCTAACACCACGTTCTACACATTTCTGACTTTTCACTAGCCTGGGCTTCAGACTGAAATCCACTTGCTTTGGGTGTTCGTTTTATTGCAAATAAAAAAAAATCACATTTTTAATGTAGTTCCCTTAAGATTATAAGCACACATGTTATGTAATTAAATAGTAGGTGTTTATAGACAGGTATAAGCACAGATAATCATGGAAAACCTGGTTTCAAGGAGGTGTACTCAAACTTTTGACTGGTACTGTACTCTTGGGCAACTCACAGACTGCAAGCTCACTCTTTCAGATAAAGGCTCCCTCTGACCTTATCAAAGGCACTTTTCTACTTCAATCCCAACATCTGTGCTCGCACACTCTTCAAAAAAAACCTTGCACCATCGGTTTCTTAATCTCCTCTAGTTCAGTGTTCAGAACTCTCCCTGCTGTCTCAATAACTTGGAAAGATTTTTTTTTTTTCCAGGAGTGATCTGTGTTTTGGCAGCAGGGACCAAACATAGCTGTACAATGACCTCAGCACCGAACAGCTAGAAATGGCAAAAAAGATGTATTTCAGTTTCCTGTCTGCAACACGTGATCAACACACTACACATTATATAGCATTTGCTCTTGGAATCAAGTCAGTCTGGCTCATCTTCTCTACAGACTCATTTTTCTTACTCTGCTAAGCATGTTCATGCATATATCCTGACCTTTTCAGCTCCTAAATACTGAGCATATCCCATATGAACAAGTATTGAACACAGCAGCCAGGAGACGTAGAGGTGCTTCCAGGGATATTAGGAAACAAAGTGATCAGCTGAAATCTAAACTTACCATTAACACTCAGTATAAATTTAGAGGTAAGGAGCATACCTTCTTACAAATTCTGCAAAAAAAAAA